GCTCATAGCACTTATCACCAAACTAAATTAATATTTTTTACCTTTATTTGCTTATCAATTTATATTTTGTTTCACAAAAATATAATTTCTATTAAACATAGGAACAATATATTTTTGCCATTATATGTTCAGAGCCTACCATTGTGTCTGGCATAAAAAAAGGGTCTTAATAAATACTTCTAGAATAAATTTAACAAATATTTTCTAAAAGTAAACCATATGTCAGGTACTTTACTACATGTTCATCATTTAACTTCAAATGTACTTCGTAAATGTAACTATTTCATTTACTGTAAAAAAATGCTTTGAAGTAATATTACTTGGTGTATATAACAACACTCAGAGGTTAAGTAACTAGCTGAGAACCAACAATTTACTATGTACTTATTAACCTTGAATTTAAATTCAGGGGCTGCTTAATTCCACTGTCCTTTTCATGTTTCAGCCTCCAAATCTAAGAACTCATTACTTGGTACTGAGGTACCAAGAAATTAATTTAACTGATCAAGAGTAAAACACCTCATATTTATCAGTGTCATTGTATAAAACCAAATCTGTTTGAATCCATTGTTTGTGTTCTTTGTACTGTGATACGCTTCTTCTGTGAACTGTTGATTTTGGCCATGGCCAGGATGAAGTTTCATTGAGCCTGAAATCTTCAGGATGGAGACTAAAGAAGTAGCAAACTCTTGGAATTTTAAAGTCCAATTCAGATGTGTCATATATAAAAATGTGTGTGTGTGTGTGTGTAAAAATGTGTGTGTGTGTGTGTGTGTGTGTGTGTGTGGTGTGTGTATTTAAGCTATGTCACTGCTTACGGGAATGTAAGAAACACTGCACTGTTAAAAAAAATTTTTTTTTTACATCTCCCATTTCATACCTCAAAGGACAAACTTTTGGTACACTCAGACAAAACAGGATTGATGAATTGAGAAAAACATTCAAACTAATAAATGGGCCTGTTTTGTTGTCTCACTTTATTGCTGGAATGCAATTAATTCCTTAATGACTAGAGGTCTGAAACATTGCATTATATCCCATTTATTTGTGTGAAGTTTCAAAGTGGGGAAAAAGAAACAATTTATTTTAAAGTATGAACTTCTGAGTTATAAAACACTTCAAAGCAAGAAATTCAAGGAAAAGCATCTCATCCACTGCTGACAAAACTGTAAATTGCATGAGTCATCTGGCAGCAATTTAGAAATACATATCAAGAGTTTGTAAAATATTCATATAATTTGTGTATCAATTACCCTCATGGGAATTTGTCCTAAGGAAGCAAAATGAAATGTGGGTAACATTTCATACATAAAGATGTTCACTACAGTGTTATTTGTAACAACTAACAATGGAAAATAATCTTTATGACCAAGAGTGAGGAAATGATCCAAAAGTAAACAATTATTGTACAGCCTTGTTCATGAAGTTTTTAATGATAGAAAAGTGCTTATGATACTGTTAGGTTTATTTAAAAGCAAAATATATATGAGTAACGGATTTAATTAAGCTCCAATGAATAAAATAGAAAATAAATAAGCCTAGAAGTAAATATGCCAAAAAGTTAATGGAATTTGTTTCTAGATAGTAAGATGATGTGTTCATGTGCATATGTATGTGCGCTTTTTCTCTGCTTCTAATACTTACCTATATTTTCAAAATTTACTGCATTAAGCATTGACTACTTTTAAAATCAGAAAGAGGGTAAAATAAATGCAAAGAGACGAAAAGAATATAAAGGAAAGAAAACAGTTTAAATAGCCTAAGCATGCCATTTTATTTCCTCTTACTGGCTGAAGTTTTATCATGAGCATTTAAACAGGAAGATTTGCTTTCACATCACACAAGTGTTCTGCTGCCTCAATAATAAATTTCCACATAAGAACATTTAATACAGGTTTTCCAGTGAGAAAATTACTTTTCAATAAAGGTACCAGGATGTTTAGTTTTCATAGACTCTTGTAAATGTACTATGTAACATCTACTTTTGGGGGTTAATATATCAGTCCCGGAAAATAGCACCATATGTTCCAAGCTTTCATCAGATCCTAAAAACATCAAGGAAAATAACCCCAAAGCTAGACCTGTTTATACAGTATATTTGATGCTGTGATTTTTAATATTCATTTAATGGAGTCAGCCTTTCATCACTAATATTTCTTTTGCCTGCTAGTACCAACTCCTGCTAAATAAGGTTCCTGACTAGATTACATTCATGCAGGTCTCATTTTAACGGAAATTGGAGAGATGAAAAAGATTATAGGAAGAAACATTATAAAGACAGACCTCACAAGTCAAACTTAATAGTAAAACTATTCTTTTTCATGTAGATATCCATGAAAACAAATATCCTGTGAGCTAGAGATATACATTTTATCTTCCCAGCAAATCTTTATGCCTTCTTGAGACAGATTTCTATAACTATATAATGTGATTACAGTTGGTGGAGCAATGGCCCATAGAAAGAGACTGATAAAGCATCAGGCTCCAGGAAGCCAGATAAACACGTTCATTTTTTCTAACTGTAACAAGGGTAGGATAGCACTGGATATGAAGATAGAACCCAGAGAGACAGAGCAAATATTGGTTCCTCCAACTTAAAAATGGCATCCATAAAACAGCACCAACTCTTAAGAGAATAATCCCTTGGAACACATCCATGTTACTTGTTTAATTGATATACATGACTGCAAAAGAGTCTCTATGACTTTAACATGTAATCTAAAAATTATAACACTCTGGAAGAGACATTTGAAACAACAAAAATAATGTATCTATAAGCAAACTAGAAGAGAAAAGAACAAGAACTTCGAAATATGTGAACAATTTGTCCAAAAACTATCCCAGGTAGCATACTCAAGAAACACTTTTCCTAACTCTCTAGTCATCCTACCCCAAACCCCTCCTCCTGAGCATAGGAGCATAGGAGTTATATGAGAGACAGAATATTAAAATGAAAGAAATCCTGGGCTAGGCATTTATTGTGGCCCAATGTTAAAAAATACTATAATTTCAGAGCTTTCCTTAAGTCTCTATTTAGCAAAGGATATAATGCAGATAGATGATTTTGTTGTTTGAAAAGTAACAGGTCCCATTTCTTAGAAGTTAATGGATTCCTGCATGCAGTAGGCAAGCTAAGGATGTACATATGCTGTGCATAAAGAGGAAAAGAGTAATCCCCTTTGTGAGTTTAGAAAGCCTGGCAAATTATACTGCTTGTAAGGAAATGTCTCCCTTTCTTCATATGAATTGACTATACTGCCCCAGAATTAATGCCTGTTTTTCAGTGGTATGTTTATGTGACAGATGTAAAATATTGATACAAGACAGGAACACCAACAGAAGAATGAGAGTTTATATGTTTACCTCATGATAGCACAGAGATCTTCATAAGTGATGACCCAAACTTGTAGTGCCAAGACTCAGTCTTGTACATGTGGCTAAAGCCTTCTGTTCTGAGTTAGAGTCTCAAGACACAGAAACATAGACTCTGGAAAATACACTTTGAGGATATTGATTGTCTTGGTGGAACAAGAGGGACAATCTTAGGGTCAGGTGAAATACTGTAGGTAAAATGTAGATTTTCCTAAGGTGGATAGAGGACAGGAATATTGTTATTCTTAGTATGAAAAGCTGAAAAAGGAATTTTCTCATGGGACAATAAGTAAAACCAAGAAACAAAACTAGGAACTGAAGTTTGTCCTTGAGCAGCTCTCTACATGAGGTTTAACTTTTTCCCACTTGTCCTAAAAGCTGAGCTAAGTCAGAGTTATCTAACAATGCTCTCCCATATATTTAATTCTTTCCAGTTAGCCCCTAAACTTCAGTAGATATATATACACCCACTCATATGTCAGTGTTATTAAAGAGAATTAAGAGAATCAGTACGAAAAAGTTAAGAGGCTGTTCCTGCACCATTCTTCTGCTGAAGCCAGTGTGCCAGAGGCAGCACTGTGTCAAGGAAAACCCAGTGTTCCTAACTCCAGACACTGATCAATGCCTGACATGTGACTCACGTTGAAGTTAAGAGAAATGGAGAGAAGCAGCCAAGTGAAACAGCAAACAAGATGGACTGAAGAGAAAATTAAACAAACTCCTTACTTTTCTCCCAAATATATTACAACAAGACGATCCCGAAAGAAGAAAGTGGATGTTATGTTATAGGGTTATGCTTTCATCTAGTTAAAAGAAACATATCTGTTTATGTACAAAATGTGTGCAGACTCCTCCATGATCAGCTATCTTAACATAACAGAATGAATGCTGATTTATTAAGATTTGCTTTTCATTAAAGTTTGTTTGAAGAATATTTATTTAGATCTCTGTTTTTATCAATACTCTCAAGACATATTTGAGCAGGATTTTAAAAATATACACTGTTGGAAAATGTAGAAGAAAAAACTGTAGTTAAAGGCAAATTAATACAACTAGAATAAAAGAAAAGTTACTACACAGAAAAACAAGCAAAAAAGTTTTCCAGAATAATTAGAGAGGGCTATAAAATTGGCTGAGTATTCCAGAAGCCAAAGCAAAGAGAAAATAGGATGAGTTACAAGAATTCTATTGTTTTTAAGATAAATATCTGGGTATATAGGACAAGAAAAGCTTTTTCTGAAATTGAGCCCTGTAACAAATGTCTTTCTGAGGTCTTTATGAAGAAATAACATAGAGACCAGAGCTCTATAATAAACATAATAGCAAATCACTTCCAGTGGTTCTTTATAGTGTCCCTCAAGGAAGCCCAGCACACCATGCTAATGCTTCAATCAGTAAAAAACACTCTCTGTTCTCAGACAGTCCATTTGTATTATTACATAACCATCAGATTAAAAATTAGTGTATTTTACCTATTTCTCTATATCTCTTAAAACAAAACTATATCATTGTTATAGGTACATAAGAATACATGCCTAATATGGCCATTATTTTGACTTTCCTGAAATAAAACAAAAGCATAATCTTCTTAAGGAAACCACAATGAAGGTATTCATTATTTCCCTCACCTGTGATTCTTTCACGTTTTCAACAGTAAAGTTGAACCAGACTCGGAAGCGTGGATTACAGGTATCCGGCCTAACGAACAAATCATACTCAAACTCAGAGACCTGGGCCACTCGTCCAAGGTTACCTGGTAATAAAGATCAAGAGAACTGGGTTTTAATAGTAGTTCATGCAGCTCAATGACACATACATTAATATATGAATGAGCTCCGAGAGCAACATTTGTCATCATTCAGTACTTGTTCAGCATTCACAGTCTGTAAGGCTGCCAGCTTAGTGCAGCCCAGGGTAAGAGGAGGCGTTCAGCTAGCCCGGGCTGTGGTCCAAGCAGCTCTTCTATCTTAGTGACCCAGCAGATCCATTTGTACTACAAGTGCCTTTAACACATTGGGATGTTCTACACAGCATGTAGCAAACCCCAATAAATCAAGTAAGAATCACAAACAAATTTCAGTTTCATAGTTAAAAAAGCAAAAATGATACCTTATGTATTTTACATTAAGCTTATAGTACACAAACTACCTCTAATACATTTGATTTTATTCAATTCTCACAACAGAGCTATGCAGTTTTCACTGTTTCTGGAATATTTCCGAACTTCTATCAGAACATGTTAAAGAATATGTAAAATAGAATAAGATTTTTAAACAAAAATTAGGAGTAGATGCTATATAAAAAATAATAATAGTAAGTTCACAAACAACTATGAAATTAATTTTCTCTACCAACAGAAGTAAAAGTTACATCAAAAATATATAAACTTAAGTGACTTCCACTCTTTGTCTCTCCTCTCTCTGCTATTCTATTGAACAAGAAAATGCCCAAAATCTTAATAGTGGGATGGATAATAAATAAATTTATAAAAGCAAAAGGTTGGGTGAATTCTCAAACCAGACAATCAACAGTGTATTAAGAGTAAAGATGACCATGGACTATAGAGGAAAATAAAAAACTGAATGACAAGTCAGTATCACATTGCACCAGAACACAGCAATATCCTGCTTTAAAGTGAATTCTAGTGTGTCTTTCTCTACTTTCTCAGTACTACTTAATACTCAGAATTAAACTTTAATTTTTAAATTATTTCTTTTTTAAGTTCTAGTGGCACTTCACTTGTTTTACTGAAGCAACAATCATGTTGTCGATGGAGTATTAATCTGGGAAGCAACAGACCTGAATTCTAGCTCAGTTGACACATTGTGCAACAATGTGTAAATGACTTACCCTCTTCTGCAAAATGAGAATATTGATTTATTTAACCTCTAAAGGTTTCTCTCAGCTGTAACATTCTTTGACTGCCTGATTCTAGGCTTAATCAAGTAGTGATCCAAAGTAATAAAGAACTTTTCCCCCAAAACTGTATCAATTAACCTTATTTATTGATCAATTTTATCTGCTCTCATTAAAATTTGACCAGGAAAGCCAGACTTATTCCTACTTCCAGAGCAGAAAAATCAGTTACCTCCACTTAAGTATACACATATTGACAAATAATGCATTGATAAGAAAGCATAAACATGAACTGATTAGGACCAAAAACTTCTATCTTAATTTTTATAGTTCCAACTATCTTCAGAATTCCTAAGGATACTCCTCAGTTAAATTGGTCTTTTCAACTACTATAATCTGAAAATATTAGACAGAATACTTATTACACGATGGCACTGAGCTTGGAATCAGAAGATCTAGGCTTAAGATTTAGCTGTCACTTACTGAGTGACCTTGGAAAATTCACTTCTTACAATATCTGTTCTCTCAATTATAAAGTAAGGATCATATTAATAGAAATATAAATATTTATCTCTATTAAATTACTATGAACATTAATTTTAATCAGTATATAATTAACATGAACATTAATTTTTCAAAAGAAATTAACATTTTCTGAGAATTGATACATGCCAAATACTGTCCTACATGCTAGGTATACTAACCTATTTAATTCTCAAAATTCATACACCTCAATGCAGAAAAAATAAATAACTCAATAAAAAAATGGGCAGAGGACCTGAAGAGACATTTTTCCAAAGAAGATATACAGATAGCCAACAAATACATTATATGTGGAACCTAAAAACCAAAACAAACAAAATTAAACAGAAACAGACTCATGAATACAGAGAAATGGTGGTTGCCAGAGGAGACAGGGGTGGGTAGGTAGGTGAAATTGGTGAAGAGAATTAGGAGGTACAAAATTCCAGTTGTAAAAGAAGTAAGTCATGGAGATTTAAATTACAACACAAGTAATATAGTCAATAACATTGTGATAATTTTGTATGGTGAAAAATGATAGCTAGATTTATCCTTGTTACCACTTTATAATGTATATAAATGTTCAATTATTATGTTGTACACCTGAAATTAATATATTATATATCAACTATACTTCAATAGAAAAATGATACCTCATTTTAATTATGGAACACTTGACATTTACAGAATTCACAATATGCATATTCTTTTCAAATGTACATGGTACATTTACCATAATTGATCATATGCTGGTCCATAAAACAAGTCTAAACAAAGTTCAAAGGAATTTATATTACACTACATTTATTCTTTTTCACAGTGATATTATTTTAAACTAAATTGCAATTAACATATGACAATAAAAATTTATGGGATATAGCTAAACTTATTCTAAGATGGAAATTCATAAATATGTATATATATATATATATAAATACATACACAGAAATGTAGGTGATTGGTTTTTCACTGATATACACATATGGTGGAAAATAAATGATCTAAGCTTTTATCATAAGTTAAAAAAGAGCAATACTTTCAAACAAAAAAGATGGAAGAAAGAAATGATAAAGCATGAGAAATAATAAACATTTTTAAATGTACTCTATGGAAAATGTTAAATGTTTAAATCAGAGCAGAGAATATAACCAATAATATTGTAATATATTAGTATGGTAGTGGGGGTAACTACACTTACCATGGTGAGCATTTAAAGATGTATATAACTATTGAATCACTATGTTGCACATCTGAAATCAATATAATATTTTATATCAACAATATTCCAAAAGCCTTTTTAATTAAAAATAAATAAATAAAATGTGCAAACTTGGTTCTTTGAATTTCATAGTTAAAAAAGCAAAAATGATACCTTATGTATTTTACATTAAGCTTATAGTACACAAACTACCTCTAATACATTTGATTTTATTCAATTCTCACAACAGAGCTATGCAGTTTTCACTGTTTCTGGAATATTTCCGAACTTCTATCAGAACATGTTAAAGAATATGTAAAATAGAATAAGATTTTTAAACAAAAATTAGGAGTAGATGCTATATAAAAAATAATAATAGTAAGTTCACAAACAACTATGAAATTAATTTTCTCTACCAACAGAAGTAAAAGTTACATCAAAAATATATAAACTTAAGTGACTTCCACTCTTTGTCTCTCCTCTCTCTGCTATTCTATTGAACAAGAAAATGCCCAAAATCTTAATAGTGGGATGGATAATAAATAAATTTATAAAAGCAAAAGGTTGGGTGAATTCTCAAACCAGACAATCAACAGTGTATTAAGAGTAAAGATGACCATGGACTATAGAGGAAAATAAAAAACTGAATGACAAGTCAGTATCACATTGCACCAGAACACAGCAATATCCTGCTTTAAAGTGAATTCTAGTGTGTCTTTCTCTACTTTCTCAGTACTACTTAATACTCAGAATTAAACTTTAATTTTTAAATTATTTCTTTTTTAAGTTCTAGTGGCACTTCACTTGTTTTACTGAAGCAACAATCATGTTGTCGATGGAGTATTAATCTGGGAAGCAACAGACCTGAATTCTAGCTCAGTTGACACATTGTGCAACAATGTGTAAATGACTTACCCTCTTCTGCAAAATGAGAATATTGATTTATTTAACCTCTAAAGGTTTCTCTCAGCTGTAACATTCTTTGACTGCCTGATTCTAGGCTTAATCAAGTAGTGATCCAAAGTAATAAAGAACTTTTCCTCCAAAACTGTATCAATTAACCTTATTTATTGATCAATTTTATCTGCTCTCATTAAAATTTGACCAGGAAAGCCAGACTTATTCCTACTTCCAGAGCAGAAAAATCAGTTACCTCCACTTAAGTATACACATATTGACAAATAATGCATTGATAAGAAAGCATAAACATGAACTGATTAGGACCAAAAACTTCTATCTTAATTTTTATAGTTCCAACTATCTTCAGAATTCCTAAGGATACTCCTCAGTTAAATTGGTCTTTTCAACTACTATAATCTGAAAATATTAGACAGAATACTTATTACACGATGGCACTGAGCTTGGAATCAGAAGATCTAGGCTTAAGATTTAGCTGTCACTTACTGAGTGACCTTGGAAAATTCACTTCTTACAATATCTGTTCTCTCAATTATAAAGTAAGGATCATATTAATAGAAATATAAATATTTATCTCTATTAAATTACTATGAACATTAATTTTAATCAGTATATAATTAACATGAACATTAATTTTTCAAAAGAAATTAACATTTTCTGAGAATTGATACATGCCAAATACTGTCCTACATGCTAGGTGTACTAACCTATTTAATTCTCAAAATTCATACACCTCAATGCAGAAAAAATAAATAACTCAATAAAAAAATGGGCAGAGGACCTGAAGAGACATTTTTCCAAAGAAGATATACAGATAGCCAACAAATACATTATATGTGGAACCTAAAAACCAAAACAAACAAAATTAAACAGAAACAGACTCATGAATACAGAGAAATGGTGGTTGCCAGAGGAGACAGGGGTGGGTAGGTAGGTGAAATTGGTGAAGAGAATTAGGAGGTACAAAATTCCAGTTGTAAAAGAAGTAAGTCATGGAGATTTAAATTACAACACAAGTAATATAGTCAATAACATTGTGATAATTTTGTATGGTGAAAATGATAGCTAGATTTATCCTTGTTACCACTTTATAATGTATATAAATGTTCAATTATTATGTTGTACACCTGAAATTAATATATTATATATCAACTATACTTCAATAGAAAAATGATACCTCATTTTAATTATGGAACACTTGACATTTACAGAATTCACAATATGCATATTCTTTTCAAATGTACATGGTACATTTACCA